AGACTTTCTATTTCAATTTTCTTTAGGGTTTTTATCATGAATGGGTTTTGGACTGGGTCAAATGCTTTTTCTGCATCATTACATTTATTGATTTATAGAAACACTTTAGTGCAGCTGCATTTTGACTATGATCTGCCCTACTGAATTACACTTGTGGCCTCAAAACATTTCAGATTTTGGAGCTTTTTGATTTGGAATAATCAACCTTTATTTTTATTTTAGAAGCTCATTGTGAGTGTCTAAAATGTCTCTCTCCAATTCTACTTCTCTCTAATCCATCTTCTGTTACCTCTAGAGTGGTATTTCTAAGATGTAAATATGATCATTTTACTTTCCTAGTTAAAATTTTTTCAGTGATCTCTCACCAAATCACATAATGAAATTATTCTCTTTCATGAAGTAATGTCTGTTTCTTTTTCCTGCCTTCTCTCTCTCCACTTCTCTACATATACTGTACTATATGCATTGGTCATTCTGAGCTATTTTTAGATCCTCAGATATTGTCATTGTGTGCATACCTATTTGTACATTTTCTTCCCTCTATTAGAATGGTCTTTCTCCATTGTCTACCTGAGAAATGCTTGCTCATCCTTAAAGATCCATCTCAAGCAACATCCTGACAACATCCAACCATCTCTGTCTAGTAAGAGTTGATTATTTCCTCTCTGATACCACTGTAATTTATATATATATATGTATATATATATATATATTATAGCACTTATAGCAGTGCACTATAGTCATTTATATTATGTCTCTCTACTAAACTAGTAGGTCTTATTCATCTTTTATACATCTACTGCATGTATCTAATTATGCAACCATGATAAATCAGTTTTAGAACATTCTACATCCCCTCAAAACGTGCCTCGTACATATTTTTTTTTCCTCGTACATATTTAATGTTAATCTCTGTGTCCTCCCATCCCTTAGTCCTAAAAGGTAGCTAATCTTCCTTTTCTATATAGATTGATGTATATGGATATTTTATATGAATGGAATTGCATAGTATGTCATCTTTTGTGACATGTTCATTAATCAGAATGCTTTTGTGGTTCAGAATGCATCATAGTTTTGAGGTCATAAAATGCATCATTGTTCATTCCTTTATATTACTGAGTAATATTCTTTTGTACTGTAGGGCTATATTTTGTTTATACATTTAGCAGTTGTTGAACATTAGTTTTTGATTTCCCATAATTTGAATAATGCTGCTGAGACATATATGTACAAATGTTTGTGTGGAAATGTTTTCATTTTTCTTGGGTATATATCTAAGGGTGGAATTATTGAATCATGGTAAATTATGTTTAATAGTCTAAGAAACTAGGCTGCATGATTCTAAGAAACATTCTAAGAATCTAGGCTACATATCTACCAGTGATGTACAGGGTTCCTACTTTTTTCATAACCTTAACATTTTTTATTGTGTATCTTTTTCTTTTAGCTATTTTAATGTATGTATGATTTGATATCTCTTTGTGGTTTCAGTTTGTATTTCTTTAATAACTAATGCTTTTGAACATATGTCATATGGTTTTACCTTATATTTTTGAAGTGTAATTTTGCTGGATATGAAATAATGAATTGATCTCTTTCAACATTTTGACTATATGAACTTACAGTCTTTTGCCATCCAAGGTTTCTGATGGAGTTCATTGTTGATCTTATTGACGATCTTTTTTACTAAGTTACTTTTCGCTTATTGATTTCAAAGTACTCTGTCTTTGAGTTATGTCAGTTTGATTATGATGTGTCTAATTGTTGATCTCTTTAAATTTATTCTACTTATAATTTATTGAGTTTCTTGGTTGGATTTCTTTATTAATATTTCATGAAATTTGGGGAGCTTTCCACCATCATTTTTTTAAAATATTCTTTCTTCTCTGTCTTCTTTCCTTCTGGGGCTTCCATTATGCAAATGTCATTATGTTCAGTGGTTTCCCACAAAGCTCTAAGGTTCTATTTATTTTTCTTCATTATTTTCACAAAAAGTATACCTCTGGATAATCTCTACCAACTAATCTTCAAGAATGTTCACTCTTCCTTTTATCAGCATGAACAAATGAATTCTTCATTTCAGTTATACTTTTCAACTCCAGAATTTGTACTTAATATTTTTTCAAATTTTTTGTTACTGATTTTTTCTATTTGATAGAATAGTTATCATACTTTATTTTTTAATAAACAAATTTTATTTTTTATTTTTGGTGTGGCACTGGGGATTGAACTCAGAGCCTTTATGCTGAGCTATGACCCAGCCCCCCATACCTGCCTGTCTTTCTTTCTTAATTTCTTTTTTTCCTTTCCTTCTCTCTCTTTCTCTCTCTCTCTCTTTCTCTTTCTTTCCTTCCTTAAATTTTGAGACAGTGTCTCACTAAGTCACTATGTTGCTGTTGCCTAGGCTGCTCTCAAACTTGCTAGTCTAGGGTTACAGGCATGCACCATCATACCCAGCTGAGATTTTATTTCTTAGAGCAGTTTGCGGTTTATAAAATACTTGAGCAGAAAATACAGATACTTTTATGTATCCTCTATATACTTTTATGTATCCTCTATACTTTTATGTATCCTATATACTTTTATGTATCCTATATACTTTTATGTATCCTCTACCCTGTCTACAGATTCTCCTATTATTAGCATCTTGCATTTAACAATTGAAGAACCAATATCAGTACATTACTATTCATTAAAGCCCATAATTTACCTTAGGGTTCATTCTTTCACAGTATGATTTTATAGGCTTTTCCAAATTTATACTGTCATGTGTCTCATACAGAATAGTATCATATAGAGTAATATCCCTGCCCTAAATCTCCTGTGCTCTACCTGTTAATCCTTCCCCTAAAATCCCTGGAAGCAGCTGATCTCACTATCTCTATAATTTTTTTCTGAAAAATTGTATAATTTTAGTCATATTTAGCCTTTCAGACTTCTTTCACTTAGCAATATGCATTTAAGGTTCCTCCATATCTTTTCTCTGTGTGGCTTGATAGTTCATTTTTTTCTTTGTTTTTTTCGTGTGTGTGTGTGTGCGTGTGTGTGTGTTTGGTGCTGGGGGTTGAAACCAGGTCATATACTGGGCAAGCACTCTAGCAGAGCAACATCCCCACATTTTTAATTTGAGTAGGTTCTCACTGAATTGTCTAGGATAGCCTGCTTCAGCCTCCCTATTAGGTAGGATTATGAGTGTGCACCACTTCACCCAGCTTCTCATTTTTTTATTTTTTGGCTTTTTGAGACAGGTTCTCCTTATGTAGTTCAGACTGGCCTTGCACTCACTATGAAGCCCAGGCTGGCCTTGAACTCACAGTGATACTCCTGCCTCAGCCTCCCAAGTTCTGGGATTATAGGTGTGTGCCACCACGTCCAGCTCATTTGTTTTTATTGCTGAAGATATTCTATTATTTATGGATATACCTCAGTATTTATCCATCCACCCAGTAAAGAACACCTTAGTTGCTTCCAATTGGGGCAGTTAATGGTAAAGATGCTATAAACAGTTGTGTGCAAGTTTTTGTGTGTTTCTAAGCTTTTAGCTCATTTGGGTACATAGCTAAGAGCAAAATTACCGAATCATATGGTAAGACCATGTTTAACTTTATAAGAAACTGCCAGACCATCTTCCAAAGTGGCTGTACAATTTTGCATTCCTACCAGAAATGAGTATGAGTTTTTACTCACATCCTCAAGGAAAGAAACTTGGTGTTGTCAGTGTTATTTATTTTCACCATTTAATATAGTTTCTTTGTATATTTGAATATATTTATAACAGGTGCCTTATTTGTTATTTATGAAGTGCAACTACTTCCCTTCAGGGAAATTTTTTATTGGTTGCTTTTTCTTTCTTGGTGTTTTGTTTTGTTTTGTTTTGTTTTGTTTTGTTTTGTTTTGTTTTGTTTGAAGCCTACCTTCCTGGAATCACCTTCTCAGTCAGTACGATTTAGTGATCATTCAATTATGGGTCAGATTTTCTTAAGTCTCTTAAGCCTGTAAGTCTCCTCCCTTTTTTAAAAGGAGATCTTTGAGATAACTCAAATTTCAGGCACTTTACAGGTGAGCCTTAGCTTTCATTTCCTGCTCTTAAATTCAGCCAGAATTGAATAACAGGTGTCTTCTCCTGTCCTGTTTCTTTTCTGGACTGTTCACAAGTCTGTACATATCTGTATACTTCTAGATACCCACGAGTATCTTGGAACCTTTTAAAGTTCCATGTAGTCAGCTGGTTCTCTGTGTCTTTCTTTTCAACTTTTATCCAGGCTTTCATTTGCCCCAATTAAAATCACAACCTTAGGCAGCTGTTATGTTACAAGCAGATTGCTATTGTTTTTTTATAATGCCCTAGGAACAGCTTTTTCATTAAGCTGCACTGTATATGTAATCAAATTATAATACCTTGGGAGTGGATATTTTCCAGGGAGCTGCTAGTTTGCTCAAGATGTTGTCTGTGTTCTGTTGGATGAGGTTTGAGTGAAGCTCCGTAAGATCTGCTGGCTGCCATACTGCTACCTTTCATGGCTGCCACACTTTTGATTTGGCAGGGAGGAAGGATGGGAATAACCTCAAGTTAAAACCTGAAAGAATGATGTTCTTACTGAGGTTCATTAGTTTTTCTCTTTTTTAAATACTGCGCTAGGGATCAAACCCAAGGACTCACACATGCGAGGAAATACTCTACCTTTACCCTCATTAGTTTCTCTTGAATAGATGCTTTTCAGTCCATTCTGTGCCTTTGGTTAATTTCTGGTGTTCTGAAATGATTTAAATGGTTTTCCAGTATTTTGTTGCTTTTATTGGGGATTTGGCTCACTGAAGTTCTGGGTTTGCTGTTCTAGAGGTCAGTTTGATAGGAAAATAATGTCTTTCTCAGACTTTGCCTTAATATTTAATATGTATACAGATTATCATTTATAAATGACAGATAAAATATTAGCATTTTCCTTATAGAAACTTTGAAGCATGCATTTGGGACAATTACATTCTGACTTTCTTTTCAGGTTACTATAACTTCTGACTCTACAGGTCAATCTGAAAATTTTGACGTTCAGTCTTTGACTTGTCAAAAAGAATGCAGTAAAACTGTGAACACAGAGGCCTTAATGACAGTATTTCACCCTCAGAATTTGGAGACCCTGAATTCTAAAATGGTAGGAAAAGAAAGTATTTATATCAATAGGCTGGAACAGTTGTTTAAAAAAGAATCTTAGTGCAGAGTAGCAGGTACCAAAACTAAAAATTCTTCCTTTAAAGTTTGAAAAAGTCTTTCAGAAAGTATTATACTACTGTGTGCCTTGCTTGTTTCCACAACACACAAGGACGGTCATCAAGAATGAAGATAAAAGATGAATGTTTGACTTGGGGTTTAATTTGTATAGATTTCTAATAACATGCAGAAATGGAGCTGATTTGAGAAAAATGAAATGAAAAGCTTTGCCTACTGAGTATAATACTTTCACCATTTTTACGAGTTTAAGAATTAAGATAGTAAATTAAAGCTGTTAGACTTGCATAATTTTAAAAGATTTTTGGGAAGACAAAGGTGCAGTACTGACTCCTTTGTTAAAAATGATTTTTATTTTCTAGGGTCTTGATTTCCACAGATGTTTCATGGTAAACAGGGAGGGCAAACTGTTTTAAAGGTGTCAGTTTCTCACTCTGTTTAGTTCATTTGATTTTTCTGTTACAGTTGAAAGAAAAGATGAAAGAACAGTCATGGAACATCTTATTTTCAGAATGTGGGCGTGGTGTTAGCATGTTTCGGACCAAAAAGACTCGAGATCTGGTTGTAAGAGGGATTCCAGAGACCTTAAGAGGGGAGCTTTGGATGCTTTTCTCAGGTACAGCTAGCCCTCGTTTAATGATCTACCACTTTAACGACTGGCGTTCAGACCAAGGCGTGCTGTTCTTCAGACTTACCACGCACCACTTGGCCTTACAACCTCTTTTTTTTATACAGTTTTGTACATCTTGTTTATAGAACCTCAGTGTCTTTTTTTGTATCGTGCACCTTGTTTATACAATACTATAATTTTTGCTGATTGTACTGTATGGTACAAAACTGTACTTTTGTGTTCTGTTATGCATTACAGTACTGCATGTAAGAGATATGCAAATAAAAGCAAAGTCAAGTGGAAGTTTCCTTTGACCGTTTATTCGTTCTGAATACTGTAATGTATGTACTATATACAAGTCTTCATTTAGTGACCAATTCACTTAATGACCTAGGAATATAACTTGGTCACTAAACAGGGAAGGTCTATATTACATTTATGCACTTTACTCATTTAACAGACATTAACTATGCCCCTTGTAAGAATTATATACTAAGCTAAAGTTAAAGAATTACAGGGCCAGGGATATAGCTCAGCAGCACAGTGCTTGCCTGACAAGTGCAAGATCCTGAGTTCAATTCCCGGTACCAAAAAAAAAAAAAAAATTACAAAAATGTCTCAGAAAAAGTCTTGCTCACCATGGGTTAGACTAGTCAAAGAGAGCAAGGTATGTAGTTATGTGTATTTACTTATATATCCATATATCTGATGCCTGGGTAGATTACTTTATTAGGCAAGTTTGATCTAATTGGTGACAATCTCTCTAGTGTCAAAGGAAAGCTAAAGGGAAGAATCTCAAAATGTTGTTCTATTGCATAATAGTATTAGCTTGACATGATATAGATGCTAGTGTAAAGCTGTTTCTTTTCCTTAATTTCTTCTCTTTTTGCACTCAGTTATCACTCGAATGTAAAGCTAAATTCCAAGGTAGTGAAACCCAATCATTCTTATACATGAAAATATACTACTATGTGCAAATCGTAGTTTTATTATGTTTCTCTTTTTGTATGTGAATGCAATCATCTTCACAGGTGCTGTTAATGACATGGCTACTAATCCTGGCTATTATGCTGAAGCAGTTGAGAAGTCCTTAGGGACCTGCAACTTGGCTACTGAAGAAATTGAACGTGATTTGCGTCGCTCCCTCCCTGAGCACCCAGCATTTCAGAGTGACACTGGCATATCTGCTCTAAGGCGGGTACTCACTGCTTATGCGTATAGGAACCCAAAAATTGGATACTGCCAGGTATGTCTTCACTATGAGCCTGTGTGCATGTTTCAGATAATAAAAGTGTATCAAATCTAGCTCTGCTAATTTTGAAATTATAAGGACAGGTGCTGGGGTTAGATTGATAGTAGTTACTATTAATGTAAGTAGTGTTGTAGTAGGCATATACAGAATTGAAATTTCAATAATTTTTCCTTTTCATTTCACAAATATACGTTGAATTCCTGCTCGGGAAAAGATCCTGTGCCACATATTTAAGGCTATATAAAATGTATCAGATAGGGATCTTGCCATTAAAATACATAATATTAGTAGGTATTAAAGACATTTATTGGGAAACTGAAAAACAAGTAAGGAAAATTACTATATGAAAATAAAATCTTCCTTGCATTTTTAATAAAAAGATTATTTTCATCTGCAAGAATCATAGAAGGCTACATGGAAGAGCTAGTAGCATTTGCAGGTCATGAAAAGTTGTGATATTTTGAACATACAGAGATAAAGTAAAACAAAATTCTATGAGCAAGAGTCAGTACAATCCAACATAGATAGAAGTACATGAGGCGTGTATATAACCCTCTGTTCTGTACAGAAAAGTGCGAGGTAAATGAAGCAAAGTAGTTGGAGAAAACAATAAAGGTAGATTGAAGTAGATTGGGAGATTAGATTTTATTTTGTTGGCAGCGGAGGAATCACTAGTGAAAAAGTCCTCTAGGCGTGCCCTGTATGGATTAGGTGGGCTGGACTGCTAACACAGCACAGGGATGATAACTGACACACAACAGAAGAAAGTGATTATTTTGGTGAGTAGAGAGTTCTCTGTGAGACTTAAGGGATTTAGGCTATGGGCTGGCAGTAGACTCTGTCATCTTCAGAACAAGGCTTCCAAGGTCCTTTTGCATTGTCAATACTATACACAGGACAGGGTAGAGAGAGTGAATAAAAAGTTGTTGGAGATTTTACAGGCTAGACCTGGAAGGGGCATGCATCACTTCACTCCCATTCTATTGGAAGGTCTTCATCATGCGCACACCTCTTCACAAAATGTAGTGTGAGCTGAGCAGAGTTGTGCCTGGCTACTGTGGAAGAGGAGATTGGATCGTGGCAGAAAAGGTAGCACCCTCTGCCATACATTCATTTCTAATAGTTGGGTATGATTAATGATCATATATCAATACTATCTATCAATTGAAACTTATCAATAGAGATTTTTTTCCTGCTGTGCTGGAAATCAAACCATGTCTTGAATTATTTGTTGCCAGTATATAGAAATACAAATAATCTTTGTATGTGTTGATCCTGTATACTATAACTTTACTGAGCTTATTGGTTAATACTAGTACATGTTTTGTGGATTGCCACCTTTTTTCTTTCCTAATCAACCTGGCTAGAACCTTCAGTATAATGTTAAGTAAAAGTACAGAGGTTTTGTTCGTTTGTTTTGAGACGGGGGCGGGGGGTCCTCAGTGTGTTTCCCAGGCTAGTTTTAGAGGTTTCTTTGTGGGAAGTGTTTTCATTACTAGTTCAATCTCTTTACTTATTGTAGCTCTTATCTTTCTTCTTGAGCTGGTCTCAGTAACTTGTGTTCTTGGAAACTTGTTCATTTTCCTAACTATGTAATTCATTAGTATGCAATTGTTTGTCATATTCTGTTATAGTTCTTTACATGTCTGTAAGGTTGCTAGTGGTATTCTCTCTTTGCTGGTTGTAATCACTTAATCCCACCCCCTTCTTTTGTTTTTTTGAAAATATTTTTGGTTATGCCATCTAAAGATCTTTCAATGCTTTTTATCTTATTTTGTCTTTTCGATGAAACAACTTTTCATTTGTTTTTTCTTTTCTTTTTGTTTTTGTATTCTGCATCACTTTCTGCTTGAACAGAGCCTAAAGGTTAGTCGGAACTAAAAGCTGAGGCCTTTTCTGTTCTTTCCCAAGTATTCACACAACTGTAAATATGTATAAATTCATATTCATGTACATGAATTTCTAGAATCTCAGGAATATGTGAGAGTTTTTCAAAATCCCCCCAGATTTTCTTTTGACCCTTTGCTAGCTTATTATTTGCCAGCTGTTATCCCCTTCCTCAGCAGTGTTCAATAGCTGTCTGATTGTTTTTAACAAACACTCCTGAGGAAAAGACTTTTTGTGCTAGATAATCTCTGCATCAGGTCAAATGTAGGCTGGTGGTTGGAGTCTTCGTCGGAGCTGCCACACAAATTATGACAGTTCCCTAGGTGTTGGATTTCGAAGGAGCTCTAACCCCATCTTCTTCCCTCTGGCGGCAGCTAGGTGTGGTGTTGTTGTTATTTGTGTGTTTTCTTTGGTGCTGGGGATGGAACCCAGGTCCTCACACATGGTAGTAGTCTACCACTGAGCTACACTTCCACCCCTGGATGTTGTTTTTTAAGTTACCGGAAAGCTGGAGAGAGGAAATAGGAATAGGACGGTTTGAAATGCCACAGAGCTTAGCAATTTGTTTTTGAGACAGGTCTTGCTATGTAGTTTAGGCTGGCCTTAGACTCACTATGTAACCCAGAGTGGCTTCAAATTCGAAGCAATCCTCCCGCCTCAGCCTCCTGAGTGCTGGGATTACAGGAATGCACCACCATGTCTGGCTTGCCATTTTCTTAAATAAATGCTGCTGCAGTGCTATAAGCTCTTGGTTAATTTCTAGAATCCTAGAAAATTTATTTGATGATTTTTGTCTGTGTTCTTATTGCTTTTATGAAGGTCTTTGGAGGTCTTTACAATGCCATTTTCACTCTACCCACTCTATTATAGCTTCTCCCACAGGAAAGTGATGAGATAAAAACAGCTTGAGCTCAAACTGTGGCAGACAGTGCCAAGGAATTGACATACTTAATATACAAACCTATTAGAGCTATATTTAAACATAAAAATGAGAATAGAAATGAAAGGAGTAGTCACACAAAAGAAAATGCAGATAATAGAACTGAAAAAGGAAGTTCAACTCAAAGAAATTAAAATTAGAACGAGATACCATCTTCAGTATCAGATTAACATAACAAAGATGATTACAATTGTTACACTTACCAGTACTGGCAAAGGTGCAGTAGACATTTAAACACTTTACTAGAAATATAAATTGGTACAGCCTTTCTGGAATGTAATTTGCATTATGGCTTTAATAAGTAGTACCCTTTGACCAATAATTTAATTTCTAGATATTCTCATATACCTTGGATGAAGATTTATATGCAGAGTTGTCTACTGCAGCATTATATATAATTGAAAAATTGGAATTAACCTAAATGTCCAACAACAGTAAAATGGTTAAATAATTTTATAGTGCTATATATTCTAGTTTTAGATTATTTTACAGCGTTGTATGTTCAATGTCATAGAAAGTGTATAATGCAATACGAAATGAAAAAGTAAAGGTTTGGTATAAATTTTAGCAGAGAAAACTCAGGAAAAACTGCAGAAAAATACATCAACTTGTTAATGGTGGTATTTCTGAGTAGGTGTGATAGGGGAGGTTTCATTTTCTTCTTTCCAAATTATACACATGAGGGTTTATTATCTTTATAATAAGAAATATGAGAGTGCAAAAGATGTTATCTGACATTTATGCAACATAGATTAGAAAAAGCAGAAAGAGTGGTTATGGAAATGGAGAGGAGAAAACATTTAAAAGACCTTTTACAAGTAGAAACTGCAGGATATGCAGGCAAATTGAATGAAGTAGATACAAGGTTTCTACCATGCTCAAAATTAGCATGACTAAGAAGAAAATCCTGTTTGACGCGGGAAAGGAAGTGTTTATACCTGGGCATACTGGAAGAGGATTGATACCCAGTGGATATTCTCTGTAGATAGTTGTAGAGATGAGGTTTGTTTTCTCCAATTTTAATGTTCTTAAAAATTATATGAGTTTTTTAGATCTGTGATAATTTTAGCCATTCAGTTAGCCTAAATTAGGTTTTACTTATTGTGTCCCACATCCGTGATATTACTGCTTCATTTTCCTTGAATTAATGTTACTGTATAAGACAAATGATTAGTAAATGCTAGCCTGACTTCACCTAGTTTTGCTTCGAGTTGGCTGAAAGTTCTTATGTTTGCATTAGTCTTGTTCTTATTGCTATTGAAACCTATTGTTTGAGGAAGAAATACAATTATGACCTGAATAATTGCTTTCTCATATCTTTTCTATGAATTTTAGGCAATGAACATTTTGACTTCAGTGTTGCTTCTGTATGCAAAAGAAGAAGAAGCTTTTTGGCTTCTGGTTGCTGTATGTGAACGAATGTTGCCTGATTATTTTAATCGTCGAATCATTGGTAAAAAAAAAACTACACATACACATTTGTTCACGTGCATTATCTTAATCTGTTTTCTGACACAATAACTAAATGCCACATACTGGGTAATTTATAAAGAATAGACGTTTACTGAGCTCATGGTTTAAGGCTGAGAAGACCAAGAGCATGGAGTTAGCATCTGCTCAGCGTCTAGTGAGGGCTCTTACTGTGTCGTAACGTGGTGGAAGGCATCACATGGCGAGGCACAGCAGGCATGCCAGAGGCAGCTTGCTCTTATGACAAAGCTACTCCCATTCAGACAGAACCCTCATGACCCAATCACCCACCGCCACAAGCTCATTGTCCAAATACCATTAATAGATGAATGTGGGGATTGAGTTTCTAATACATAATATTTGGAAGACCCATTCGAACCATAGCACATATTTGTCTAAACAATTTCAGTGACTTTTGTTTATTCATTTAACAATCAACTAGAATAGATGAATTAGTTTGAGAAATATATAAAATTTAAGCAGTATCAGAATGTCCCATTCACTGGTACATTTAAGAAAAGAAACCAAGCATGGTGGTGCACGCCTGTAAGCCCAGTACTCAGGAGGCTGAAGCAGGAGGACCATTGGAAATTCAAGACCAGCCTGGGCTACAAAGTGAGCTCAAGGCCAGCGTGAACTGCATAGTAAAACCCTGTCTCAAAAAGAACAAAAAAAAAGAGCTTTCTTTATTAAATGTATAATTGGAAGATTGTTTTATGTTGTTATTTGAATTAAAGTACCTGGTTTGTTTCTTAGTTAAATGGAAATTTTTAAGTTTATAATCACTGTTTCTATAGTAATGGTGGTCTGAAACATCCAGAGCTACTGAAGCATTTTAATAGTTTCTTGATCAGAGGGGGAGTGTGATTTATATGAATTATTCAGATATTTATAAGATTCAAAAGAACCAAGTTCTTACTTTGTTTATTATATATTTTCTTCAGTCATCAAATGTATATAGAACTGTGATCCCCTATTTTAAAATTTACAGGTCATCTCTCCTTTGTACTTTCATAAGCTTTCAGTATTCTACTTAAGACGTTGATTGTATTGCCTTTTGTTACAGTTATTTGTGTATTTCTCTCTAGTTCTACTAGATATTAAACTCTTTGAAGGTGAGGCCATTAATTGTAGTCCCTAGTACAGCTCTCTGCCTGTATTAAGGTCTCAATAAATAACTCTTTAGATGAATTTGAATTGCATTTCCCAAATGTTTTGAATGCATGTTCTCCTAGTAGGTACAGAGATACAGAAAAGATAGTAAAGGCACTTGAAGGAGTTCATAATTTAAGGGCAGAGATGAGCTATATCAGCAAGCTAATAGAAGTGAGGCGGTATCAGAAACAAATCTTTCGGAAAGAGGTCTATTTTTAAACTTCTTTTGATATTCTCTAGGTGCCTTGGTGGATCAGGCAGTCTTTGAAGAACTTATCAGGGATCACCTTCCTCAGCTGACAGAACACATGACAGATATGACATTCTTTTCCTCAGTTTCTCTCTCATGGTTCCTCACACTTTTTATTAGTGTGCTACCTATCGAAAGCGCAGTGAACGTGGTAGACTGTTTCTTCTATGACGGAATAAAGGCTATCTTACAGCTCGGACTGGCAATACTTGACTATAATTTAGATAAGCTACTGGCATGTAAAGATGATGCTGAAGCTGTGACAGCTTTAAACAGGTATTGTAAGAACTGGATCGTTTACATTTGGAGGGGATCTGAGAGATTATATTGTTATATTCCCTTATTTTACTTTTGAGGAAGCTGAGCCCTAGCAATGTCAAATAATTTGCTCGAAGTCACATAATTTGCCCTAGTTGAATGAAAAATCCAGGCCTAAGGTCCAGTCCTTTGTCTTCAACAGGGGTATTAAAAAAAAAAAAGTAAATTGCTTTGAGGTGAATAATTAGGTTATTTACACATTTATGCTGTTGTTACTGATTCTGTATACTGGGACTTTCACAGTCCCAACTATAATGTGAAAGTAATTTGAGAGGGAAAGGGCCAGTTGATAGTTTTCATTATCCAGCGGGGAAAATTATCCTAGTTTCCATGTAGTTTCGGTAAAGTAGGTTGAACTTAATTTTCCCAGTGGATTTTGTATGAAGTGCTATTTTGTATTGGAGCACAAGCATAGTTGTTTGTGTGTGTATACGTGCACACATTTGTATATGTTAAATGAATGAATATTTGAATTGACAACTGTGATAATGCTGCATCTAATCCCATTCTGTACACAGCTTTGTGAGAAGGCTTCAATGTGCCTTTCTCACTTATTTCCCCCTACGGACCCCTACATGCCCTGTATTCCGTTCTTACTAGGCTGTGTGGCGTTTGCTAAGTACACAGTGAGCCTGTTCGCTTTCTTCGTGCTCTCCTCCCCAATCCCAAAATGCGTTTGTCTCCATCCCCCGCACAGTGCACACCTAATCCACAACCATCTTCAAATTCTACTTCATCATATGTTCTTCCCTTGTCCTCTCAGTTGAAATTAACCTCCTAACTAGGGACATGTTAGCTGTTATTTCCTCTGCTTTAACAACTTTAGTTCTGCTAATTCTTGTATTCCTGTCACTTTTGGATAGGTTCTTTGACAATGTCACTAATAAGGACAGCCCATTACCTTCAAGTGTGCAGCAGGGTTCAAATGAGAGTGATGTAAAACGCAGTCATAGTAGAGTGGACATTACAGATTTGATTAGAGAGTCCAATGAGGTAAGTTCTTTTTATACCCTAAATGTAATTACATAGCACATTTAAAAAGATTGGTACTGTAGTTATCTATAGTGTTTTATTAAAAGTAATATGATAATGCAAGCAAAGATAGAATTTAAAATCTGACCTCACTTTAAAAAGGAGTTCTGTGAACTTGTCCTAGGTAATGTGACCCCCCCGTGCCTCAATTTGCTTTTCATTAAATGAAACTACATTTGCTTGTTTTCCTGAATGATGAACACTCTTAAATATGTATTACTATAAAAAAGGTGAAAATTATTCTGTTCTTAGAGATGAATCTTATCCGTGTTCTTATTCTTGGTTCGTACACATAGTAGATGGAATTCTCTGCAGTAAATATGTGTAGAAACTGAAATGTGGGAGGTGAAAATTTGCAAAATCTCTGAACAAGTCAGGAAAGTAGCTAGAAATAGATCCGAGCCCCCAGACAGCTGAGTCTGGTGAAGTTTAATTCAATTCTAAATGGGAAAGTGGATACTTATGATGAATGAATTCCCACTGAAAACATGTCTTGCAGAAATATGGTACTATTCGCTATGAAGATATACACAGCATGCGCTGTCGAAACAGGTTGTATGTGATACAGACCCTGGAGGAAACAACAAAGCAGAACGTGGTGAGTGGCATGCAGTGGGAGAAAACAACTGGAGTCAGTTTGTTTCCCTCTAATTTCCTTTAATAATTATTTTTACATGTAAATGAAATGAAAAGGACTAAAATTTTGAGCTAGATTCTTGCCAAGGTTTAGTTCATTATAATTTTTTTCAAGAAAAAACAAGTCATTTTCCTCCAGCTGAATTATGTGGCTTTCTTCAACATATTTTCTATTGTTTGGCCTTCAGCACCACTGTAGTGCAGTGCTAAATATTATGTAGACATCTAAGCTTAACATGTTTGTGATACGCTATCAGTAAGAACAGATGATTTGTATAGTAGTCAGTGGTACTAATGTTATTTTCTTTGAAAACAAAGAGTAAAGTGAATAGGGTATAAAACGGTATAAAACAGTACTCACCCTTTTAGTATTTGTGTAACTCCATAAGAGGCTGCTAATACTGGTTTCCTGTGGTCAGCAGGGAGAATAGATTACAGGTCAGAAAAGGGAGAATTTTACCTCGATGTTTATGTTGAACTTATGTTATTTTGTAAACCTACTTACAGATAAGTTCCTCAGAGATGCAAATCTAGGAAGATTAACATTTCTGAAGGTTCTTGGTTTAGATTTCAGTTAAATTCAGTGATATTATGACATAATTAGCATAGAGCCCCTTTTATTTTTTACGTATTAATATCATTAAATATTTACTGAAGTTACGAGCTTGTTTTAAATAATTCAAGCATTACACAATTGTAGAAAGTAAAGGTTCTCCATTCCTAACAGTAACCATCTTAAAGTGATTTGATATGTATCATTTCATCCCTTCTTTTCCTGTATCTGCACACATAAATGTACATGTTGGTGGGGAGGGGTATATGTTTTTTAAACGAGATTATGACAGTCACTTTGTTCTACAACTTTTTTCACTCAAAAATGATCCTGGTCCTTACATATCAGTACATATAAATCTGACTCTCTGCTCAGTGAACTAAATGGTACACCATTGCACAGTTATGCTGTAATTTATTTTATGATTCCCTGTTGATGTACGTTTAATATATCTCCATCCATTTATTTGCTCTTACAAATAATATTTTATATAAGCATCTTTATATAAATGCAAGATGTCATCAAAAATATGGTGTTTAAATATTTTTAAATTTATTACAGCAAAAGACACATTGACATCAACACACTTTCTCATTATTCTTGCCACTTTCTTTTTTTTTTTTTTTGGTTTTTCTCCGGTACCAGGAACCGAACTCACGTCATGACCTTGCGCTTGCCAGGCAGGCGCTTTGCCACTGAGCTAAATCCCCAGCCCCTCTTGCCACTTTCTGATGCAGTTCTGACAGCACTTTTTCATGGCTTTGCTTATGCTGTCTTAGCTGCCTCGATGTCCTCTGTCAATTGAGAACATTTACCTTGTGTGGCCATTTTGACTCTGAGAAGGGCCAGAAGTCACAGAGTGTAGTGCCAGATCCAGTGAGTAAGATGGATGAGGACGCAGCATAGTGTTTCACCAGCCCTCTCTCCCTGAGATGATACCTGACAGCAGCGTTCGCCATCGCTTTGGTCACACAACATAAAGACACAAAGGAGGACTTCCCGAACTGCTTCAGAAAGAGGCAAGATCAATGGAATAAGTGTATTTTAAGCAAGAAAAAAGTATTTTGAGGGGAATTAGCAATGCTATGTCTTTTACTATAATAATTCTTAAAATTTAAACCTTCAGCGTATTTTTAGATCACCCCTTGTGTATATTCCTTTTTTATTTTAAAAATTTTAAAAACTGACAAAACAACAGTGAAGACAATATTAAAGCAACACGAAACACCAAAAACGATACACGACCTCAAAACAAAATGATAGGAATTTATAACAGGTATATATTCTTTCTGAGAGTATTTCGGTGAGAAAGTACGCCTGTCTAAAACTTTGCAGGTCCTACCAAATTAGCCTCCAAAAGATCTACACTAAATTATAATTTCACCAATGATGTGCAAGAATGCCCTTTTTGCTGGATGTAGTGGCGCACACCTGTAATCCCAGCACTTGGGTGGCTGAGGCAGGAGAATCATTGTGAGTTCGAGACCAGCCTGGGCTAGAAAGTGAGCTCAAGTCCAGCCTGAACTGCATAGTGAGACCCTGTCTCAAAAAGACAAAACAAAAAAAAAAAGAATGCCCTTTTTCCATGCCTTTAACACCAGACATGAAACATCTTTAATTTGTGCAAATTAGAAAAATCAATTGTCGTTTTATGTTGCATTTTGCTAATTACCCAGCTTATTCGGCTTTTTCCATTTTTTCTTAATTGCCTATTTTTTTAGCTTTTGCTCATTTTTCTGAGACTTTTTCTCATTGATTTGTAAGAGTGCTTTGAATAGGAGTGGTATTAATTTTTTATCTGTCATATTTGTGACCTGTTATAGCCCCCTAGTTCTGTTAATTCTCTCATTTTCTTTTTGTGAATCTTTATTTTGTTGGTGCATGCTTGCAGGACATAATGATTGTGATCCTCATGGGGAGGATGTACAGAACATGTCTTAATTCTTTTTTTAAACCTCTTCCCCTCCTTTTCCTTCCCCCTTCCATCCATCACTTGGTCTCCTTCCCTTAAGCAAAAGATCTCTCTCCCTATTTCCTGTTATCTATCTTTTATTTGTTCTTTATTTATAATTTCAGTTTCTCATAAGAGAAACTATGTGATATTTAAGCTTGTGTGCCTAGTTAATTTCCTTAGAATTATGGTCTCAAGCTGCATTCATTTTACTACAAACACTCAAAGTTTATCCTTCTTTATGGCAGAGTAGTACTCCATTAGGTATAAACACCACATTTTCTTTATCCATTTATCTGTTGGTGGATATATAGGCCACTTCAAAGAATAAGGGAGTTGTGCTGCTATAAACACGGATATGCATATATCACTGTAATATGATATCTTTACTTCTTTTGGGAAGATATCTAGATGGGGAATAGTTGGTGTCTTAGTTACTTTTCTCATTGCTGTGACAAAATACCCAACACCCAGAGTTAAAGGAGAAAAGATTTATTGGAGCTCACAGTTTGTAGAGGATTCAGTCCATAGCCAACTGGCTCTAAGGCAGGTGGCAGGGCAGAGGGACATCACAGGAGAAACAGTCCATGGCAAAGCAGGGCAGGCAGAAGACAGCAAGCGAGTGAAGCAGCAAGCCACACAACCAACCCTGTTTTTATCCCTTATATTCTAGCGCTCACACCCAGGATGGGCCTTCCCATTATCCACACTCAGAACTATGCCACACCAATCAGTGAACTAATTTAGTAATCATACACACTTAATCTCAGCATCACACACTCTAGATCCAGCTACCTCTGAAAAGCCCCACCTCTGACCACATGAGGCTTCGGAGGACATTTAAACACAAGCCATAACAGCTGGATCAAATGGAATTTCTATTTTTAGCGTTTTGAGGAATTTCTATACTGGTTTCCAAGTGGTTATATTAGTTTACATTCCTTGCAACAATGTAGAATGGTTTCTACCCCTGCCCCACCCACACCCACACCCCCACAGCCTCTCCAACATTTGTTATTGGATTTCATAATGACTGGCATTCTTTCTGGAGTGAGATGGTATCTCAGTGTCACTTTAATTTGTATTCCTCTAACGGCCAGGGATGTTGAATATTTTTTCATGTATTTATTGAGTATTTGTATTTCATCTGGGTAGTGTCTGTTCATTTCAGTTGCCCATTTTTTGATTGATTCTTTTATTTGGAAGAAATCTTTTTTTTTTTTTTTTGAGTTCTTCATGTATTCTAGCTACTGCCTTTGAGTGGGAGGCCGATTTTTCCAGTTCCATCTATTTATATTTTCTTGCTCCTCTGAATTAATTTTGGTTATATTTTCCTAAGGAATTACCTATTTTGTCTAGGTTTTCAGATAAATTAGTATAAAGCTTATGGAATTTATACCTTCTATATGCTGGGTACTTTTAATGACCTCCATATCCATTCTTATGTCATCCTTTTCTTATCAATGTTTATTTGAGATTTCATCACACTTGCCTGAGATCTGTCCATTTTTTTTTTTTTTCAATTAACTCTCCATCTTCTTTAACTGAGTGTTTTGTATTTTTTTTTTCTTTTTGAGACAAGGTCTTGCCATGCAGTTCAGGCTGGCCTTGAGCTCACTTTGTAAACCAGGCTGGTCTTGAACTTGCAACAATCCTCCTGCCTCAGCCTCCCAAGTGCTGGGATCACAGGTGTGTGCCACCATGCCGAGTTCCAAGTGTTCTGTATTTTTTAATGCTCTATCTTAATCCTAGCTTTTACCTTTACCCTTGGTTTTAGATTTCTTAAATTGTATAATGCTTTCACCATCAGTGCTTATGCTTTATGAAGCAGGATAAAATTACACATTTTCTAAGCTTACTATTTTTGGAGATAGAGGCAAATAGACATCTGATGCCTTTGAAGTGTTTGATGCCTTGACAAATTGCTTATGTGGCAAGAAAGGAATGTATAGAAGTAGACCTAGAATACCGTTGCTTATATGTATAAACATTGATGTCCTTCGGTAGTGACTTCCAGGTAGGAAGAGATGATTGTCAAAGTACATTATCAGACTAGACTTGAACTATAACCTATGTACACCTTTTGGGAAATATAAAGTAGCTGTTTTATCTTTTTTTTTTTTGTTTGTTTTTTTTGTTTTTCTCCGGTATCGGGAACCGAACTCACGACGTTGCGCTTGCCAGGCAGGCGCTTTTGCCACTGAGCTAAATCCCCAGCCCCAGCTGTTTTATCTTTATTATTTTCCAGAAAATCAAAAGAAAAATATTTTCTTCTAGCAGAGGGAGACTTTTGAGTGGATTCATTTCTATGCTGAAATATCAAATGCTAAATTGCTTTTAATCTTTTTTTAGCTGCGTGTTGTATCACAAGATGTGAAATTGACCCTTCATGAATTAGATGAACTTTACGTGATCTTTAAGGTACAATTATGTTTTGTAAATGAAAAATTATGCACTTTTAGCAGAATTTTATCACAAGAACTCTTAAATACTTATTTTTTTGCCAGACATGTTTAAAAGAAGGAAATCTTCAATGACTTTTTCTGATTTAATAATTTTTCCTTTTTATTTTTTAATAGAAAGAACTGTTTTTATCTTGTTATTGGTGCTTGAGCTGTCCAGTATTAAAGCATCATGACCCCAGCCTGCCATATCTGGAGCAGTATCAGATTGACTGCCAGCAGTTCAGAGGGCTGTATCACCTGTTGAGTCCCTGGGCTCATTCAGCAAACAAAGACTCTCTAGCTTTGTGGACGTTCAGACTGTTGGATGAAAATTCTGATTGCCTCATAAACTTCAAAGAATTCTCTTCTGCAATTGGTAAACCGATATCCTGTAACTTTTTTAAGCAAAAAAAAGTATCCCTGAAAGTATTTAATACTAATAATCAGTTGAGTCAGATTATATTACCCTGGGTTACATTGTCTCCAGCTTTAATACTTACAAAAGGGTTTTTTTCTGTGTTTATTACTAAATCTAAGTATATTGATTGCATTCTGCCCCAACCCTCTCAGAAAATCAAGCTGTTACATGTGGATGTTCTAATGGTTAACATGAAGGAAGAGAATATCCTGGCTTTTCCACACTTAAGTACATGGATACTACTGACACACTTTCCTCTTCAGTAAAAATCCAACCACGTAGCCTAGAAAAGTGCTCAGTAAACATACTGTACCATCAGATAATCAATGAACCAGGCGTGGTGGCTCATGCCTGCAATCCCACCACTCGGGAGGCTGAGAGTTTGAGATACAGTGAATTGAAGGCCAGCCTGAACTACCTGGCAAGACCGTGACTCAGAACAACCGTTCAGCAGTCAGGATGTTGTACCTGGAAGTGCTGTTCCTTTGCTTTTCCGCATTCCCCGTAACGCTTTCTCATCATGGATTGGCCCTGGAACAGCAGTTCTTCTCTCAAATGAAGTATAAGGCCTCATGCCGAAGCGAAAAGAAATCTGAGGCTGGGGAAACGGAACTAGAGAGTCATGAGAGCATTTTCTTCCTTTCGTAGATTATTTTGCTTTTCACACTGAAAGGGAGCGAATCTGGCTGGTGGGTGGTTGTTTAACTGTTAGCTTCAGTAACAGAAGGTTTCTGAATCCCAGTTCCCAGTTAGTATCTGTATCTTAATTAATCTGTGCTGCTGAAGTTGATTGAATTTGGATACATGACTATTTTCAACTGAATTTTATTGGACAGACATAATGTACAATGGAAGTTTTACCGAGAAGCTTAAACTGCTTTTTAAGCTGCATATTCCTCCAGGTAAGTGTTTATCACTCGTTAATGATATACAGCAGTTGGTTTCATTTTAACAAGTATAACTGTAGGTATAATTCCATTTTATCAAATAATGCAATTATCAGTATGCTATAAGGTCGTTGTTTCCTTAGGGCGGTGGCACTGCGTTCGTCTTGTCACTGTATTTGCTTACGTATAGCGATATGGTGAAATCAGTAGAAGAGATTTCTGTGTAATGGAGAGGTCTGCAAGCTTTCTATTAGTGGGCAATTATTTTACTGATAGTTTGTGTACAAGAATTACATATCATTTGAATGTTGATATGATGTTGAATTTCTGTGCTCACTATTGCAATCAGACTAGAGAGTAACTTTAGATAAACGGCCAAGCTTGTAAAACACTACCATCATTCGGAAGAAGGGGACCAGGGAGGGCTGGTGCTGTCGCTCTGTGGTAGAGCCCCTCGCCTAGTAGTGTGCAAGGCCCTGGGTTCAGTTCCCACCACTGTAAAGCAAAGGAAAGAAAATGAAAGCAGGAAAAAAAAAGTGGGAATATTAAATATTTAGAAAAGGAAGCAAAGTAAAAGCTACCATTGAGCACTTGTTCATCAAGACATTTACTTTACCTGCATTCTTTTAAGCCTTACTAAAGTACCTCGAAGGGTAATATTGTCCTTTCACTTTTAACAAGGAAACTAGCGGTCACAAAGACTAGATTATTTGCTGAAGATCACATAGCTCATAAGTTGCCTAGCTGGGATTCAAGCTGAAGTTTATCTGACTCCAAGGTTCATTTTTCTTTCTTTGCTACCATCCTCCCTCAGAGCTCTTATATTATCTCAGTTCACATATGTTTTCTTCCATTGACCAAAAAAGGCTGCCATTCCCAGATATCCCTACCTTGAGAAAATAGTATCAAGCTTTAAAATGAAAGAATATTGCAAAAAATAACATAATTGAGGTAATTCATAACAGCAAAGAGCACCTCATAATTGTCTAAAGCTATACCTGAGATCACCTTTAAAATCTTACCATTGTACCAGGCATTTTTTTATACTCAAATCACAGATAACCTACTAAAAGCAAAAGACAGAACACCTAATAATTTAATTATAAAAGGAGTTTACATTGTCAGGTTAGGTTGCCACTGTAATGTTCCTTGAGGACACTATAGAGAGATCAAAACTAGGAAAAACTTTATAAGTTTGTTAAATCACAGGGTAGGAAGTAAAACAAAGCATTCACTTCATGTTCTTCAAGTTTTTTAAATGGTTAAGGTTGTATGTTCAGATTTCCAAATGCTAGATTTTCTTGTTACAACTCGTAATGGCGCTCAGGAAGCTACTAGGAAAGCAAGTACGAGAAATACTGGAACTCAAGGTAATCAAGTACCTGTTATTTGCTATACAGTAGGGCAATGTCCCTTTTATATTTCTTCACTTGCGTTTTTATTACAAAACTCGTTTGTGAATTCCTACTCCCAAACTTCCCTGACCATTATGGAGCCCATCTATTTCCCTCACTGTTAGTAAGTGTGATTTGGATTATGTGTTTTCAGCTTATACTGAAGTGAAATCTAAGGACTCTTCAAAAGGAGATGAACTTTCCACGGAAGAATTACTTTATTTCAGTCAGCTCCATGGTAAATATTTGTTTAAAAGTTTAACTTTTTTTCTGAGACAGAGTCTTGCTAAGTTCTCCAAGCTGGCCTCAAATTCTTAGTCTTTAGTTATCCTCCTATATCATCAACTTCCAAAATATCTGGAACTATAGGTACACAGCACTGGGTCTAGCCAGTTTACCTGTCTTGATCCTTAGCTACGTGTAGACATCTTCCTGGTTTAGATGTTCTTGACCCAGCTACCACTAGTAAATCTTGGGTTCTTTATACCTTTTGCTTCTTTTGTACTGCCATAACACTTAGCATAGTTCACAAATTTTTGACTAATTACCAAATTACTAAATACTGGTTAGAGACTTAGATTCATGAAATTTTTTATTGAGAATTACAACAAAATCATATTTTGTTTCGAAATATGTTAAAGAAACTTCTAAACTGTATCAGACCATTTTTATGCCTTGCTAAAGTACAGTGAAGACAACAGAATGTTTGGTGGTTAAATGTCATAGCTATTATTCAAACAGTAGATACTTATTGTGAAACACCAAAGGTGTAAGACACGGGAATGAGTCTGTCTCCCAGACATTACTTGGAAGTGATACGAGCTTATTTGTGCGTCCTTTGCTTTATTTTCATAACATGCAATGTCTTAACAGAGGGATGAACTCTGATTAATGTATATTTGTGGTTTCCACATGCTAAAGTGTTTTTTTGTTGTTATTTTTGGGGATTTTTTTTTCGTTTTTGATTTTTGAAGTAAGGTCTTGCTGTGTAGTTTAGGTGGGCCTTTAACTTACTACATAGTCCAGGCTGGGCTCAAACTCATAGCGATCCTCTTGCGTCAGCCTCCCAAGTGCTGGGATTACAGGCGTGCACCGGCGTGCCCAACAGCATACTAAAGAGTTTGAATGCTGAGTTTAAAGAGACCTTACAAGTCATCTAGTCAAATCCCTTCCTTTTATAGAAAAGGGCACTGAGGCCCGCAGAGAAGGGATTTGTACCGGGTTTCACACTGAGTTATCGCCACGCTCAGGAATTAGAACTCGTTCTTCTGACTTGCTGCATATGTGTTTTTAAAAATTTTTCCTGATAATAAAAGCAGTATAATTTAATTTAAAGAAAGTCAAAAGAAGGAAATATCGCTAAGAAATAAATAATTAATATTTAGTTTACTGCCTTCCAGAATTTTTTTTAAAAATATGGATATTTCCTCAATGTTCTTTTTACTATGAAAGTTCTTTCATATATTGCCTTATAATGACAGGGGGTCAGGTCGAGTAAAACTGGCTTACTGAATCAAAATAATGTGTACTTTTATGTCATCTGAAATATTATTTTTACTTTTAAAAGGTATTTGTTAAATATTTTAAAATATGCAATTACCCTCTTTCCTTCTAGTCTCCAAGGCTACAAATGAGAAAGAATCAAATTCAGGAAAAAACAGCCCTGAAAAAGGTACTATGATCTAGGAATATAATCTCTTTTATTGAATTATTGCTTATATAAATAGGGATAACTACAATGGGGGGAAAGTGGATTTATTCCTTTTAAAGACTATAGATTGAGGGGCTGGGGATTTAGCTCAGCGGCAAAAGCGCCTGCCTGGCAAGCTCAAGGTCGTGAGTTCGGTTCCTGGTACCGGAAAAAAACCAAAAAAAAAAAAAAAAAAAAAGACTATAGATTGATTGATCCTGAGACAATTTTCAATTTCTTTGCTTTATTTTAACAACTTATTCTTTTTTCCCATGATACTTGTCAGAAGTTAGAGAAAATATAATAGCAACTAACCCAGATTAATTTATTTTGATTATTTTAGAAGCATTTATTTTTTAATCACAAAAGTAATAGATAAATCTAACAGAAATTGAGACAGTAAATAGTTCTCATATTCCCACCCACCAATCCTCCCCAGAATTAAAGACTGAAAACATTTTTGACTATATCCTCTCCAGACCTCTTTCTGTATATGCACAAACATATCTAGACATCTCTCTTTTTTTAAAAAACAGTACTTCATAAATACTGTTCTATAATTTGCTAATTTTTGATTTGGTGATGTAGGATGGAAAATTTTTCACATTTATACATTTGAATATACCTTGTGCTTTTTAATAGGTACAGAATATTGTATTATTTGTTTTGATCATAACTTAATTCAATAACTAGCCCAATACTGATAGATGTTTAGGTTGTTTCCCGTTATTTTTATTTCAAGCTATGCTTCAACAAATACTTTTCTGGTTAAAAATTTTAGGATAATTTTACAAACATTTTCTTAGGATGGGATGAATTCATAGAAGTATAAAGTACTGGGCTGGGCTGGGCATGGTGGCACACGCCTGTAATCTCAGCACTCAGGAGGCTGAGGCAGGAAGATCGCTGTGACTTCGAGGCCAGCCTGCACTGTATAGCGAGACCCTGTCTCAAAAAGACAAAAAAAAAAAAAAAAAAACTGGACTGCCTGGTATTCACATCTAATATTTGATAAAGTTAAAAACAATTCATTGCTGAAGAACTATTTAAACATAACCACTTCGACAGTATTTTCACCCAGGTTTCAAGGGCTCTTAAATAATGATTTAAAAGTCACCTTAACATCTTCTTAACTAAACTCTTGAAAGAAAAGATTAAACAGTGTTTTGAGTTTTTGAGAAACAGCTACCATAGACCACTTTGTTATCTGCCTAAGAATGTGATATAGACACTGCTTTCAGTTTGTTAGTGTGTGTGAGAACGACCACAGGAAATGTACGTTGTCGGCTGAGGGCGTACTGTTTTCACCCATGAACCTCCTTTGCCCCTGTCTACTCGTGCTTGCCGTAGTCCCCAACTTTCTCAAAGTGAGGTTTTAGTTTAAACAGAACTAGAGAAAGTATTCTGAGAGCCAGTGGGTGAGATACAAGGTAAATTCAGATCATTTCCTAGATTAAAAAGGATGAAATTTCCTGTCTTGGTGAAACATCTTTCAATCATAATTATTATTCTTGAGATTTCGGGAAAGACGGTGACCTGTTCACTATGAAACTGTTTTGCTCCCCTCATTCAGGCAAAGGAAAAATTGATATTCAAGCATATTTAAGTCAATGGCAAGATGAGCTCCTCAAAAAAGAAGAAAATATTAAGGATTTGCCAAGGATGAATCAGGTATAGTATTTTTAAGAGAAAAGTCTTTTTTTTTTTTTTTTTTGTCTTTTCTTCCGGTACCAGGAATCGAACTCACAACCTTGCACTTGCCAGGCAGGCGCTGTGCCGCTGAGCTAAATCCCCACCCCCAAGAGAAAAGTCTTAAGTGCTTGCATTTTTATGTGACTATGAGTATAACTAACTGTAAAATATTTAAAACCTGTGTATTATCTTTGTTAGTTTCAAGGAAGCATGGAAGAAGAAAAGAAATTTTTAGTGATTTTTTTACTTTAAACACTTAGGTGCATCTAGTGTTTCAGATAGTTCCTGTCCTGTGACATCTGATATACATATACAAATGTATGTAGAACATTTCCAGCATTATTGGAAATGCTCTTTTATCCAGTAAACATTTTTTTAATGCCTATTGGATACCAAGCCCAGTAGTTACTGAGCATAAGAAATTCTTCTTAGTATTTCTCAATGGACTACATAACTTGGCAGTGGATTAAGTATTTTTTTAAATGAGTAAATATGAGGTCTTTGTTCTCAAATTATTATAAATGAACAGTACTATAAACTAAGGAAGAAAGAAAATAAGCATTTATTGCAATGTATTTCTATGAAGTATATCCTTTCTATTTGCTATTTGTTAAGGTAAACTTTTCTGATTGGATGATCGACTTATGTAACTCTTGTGTTGAAAATGCTTTTTTAAACTGGGCGTGGTGGCGCACGCCTGTAGTCCCAGCACTCGGGAGGCTGAAGCAGGAGGATCATTGTGAGTTCGAGAGCAGCCTGGGCTACAAAGGGAGCTCAAGGCCAGCCTAAGCCATAGCGAGACCCTGTCTCAAAAAAGACAAAAAGAAATTGCTTTTTTAAATTGAAAAGTAGTTTCTCAGACTATCTTTGGATTATTGAGGGGTAACTATGAGACCAACTAGTTTCTCTCCACTTTTGCCCCACTCAGGCTTTCGAGAGAAGCATGCCCACATGGGCCTCTTAGAGCTACCTTGCACTGCGAGATAAGTCCCAGAAGTCACTATTCCCTAAATTTGTCATCTTAGCTAAGCAGCTTACCCTAGCCCTTTAAAGAGATCAGATGGAACTTGTTCTAATCCTTCTGTTAAAATGAATTAATGATTTGCATTAGAGAAATACAATACTTTGCCTGATTAAGAGTAAGATGTGTCGGGGCTGGGGATTTAGCTCAGCGGCAAAGCGCCTGCCTGGCAAGCGCAAGGTCGTGAGTTCGGTTCCCGGTACCGGAGAAAAACCAAAAAAAAAAAAAAAAAAGAGTAAGATGTGTCATGTGCATGTGCCAACTCCCCACAAGGCGTGTAATCACTGTGTACCAGAAACATGCCAGTTAAAAGAGCGCCAACTACCACTGAAGTAATATGTCCAGGAATCAGTGTAGATTGATGTGCTGTAGGCGATAATCAAGAGGGCGTAAATGAAATGGTTTTCCACGATTCAGTCGACTTTCTAGAACCAACATTTATTTTGGGATGACTCATCAGTTCATGGGTGGAGGTTATACACTATAAACTCTATAAAGAAGCATGCCCACTTCTAAGTTCTCTTCATATTGGTCAAATGTAATATTAAAAGGTTATATTTCTAACTAGTCCCGATTTCTTCTAGGCACAATTTATTCAGTTTTCAAAGACCCTCTATAATTTATTTCATGAGGACCCTGAAGAAGAAGCATTATATCAAGCCATTGCTGTTGTAACCAGCCTTTTGCTCAGGATGGAAGAAGTCGGAAGGAAACTCCACAGCCCTGCATCGTCAGCCAAAGCAATCGCTGGTACAGTCTGTGCATCTGGAGGACCCAGTGAAAGCAGGGCGGAGAGCCCCTTGGAGAAAGATCCTTCTTCTCTTAGGGAGGAGCCTCAGTGGTCATTTGCGTTTGAACAGATTCTTGCATCTCTGTTGAATGAACCAGCCTTGGTGAGGTTTTTTGAGAAACCCGTAGATCTAAAAGCCAGGCTAGAAAATGCAAAAACCTCTCAGTTAAGATGTAGAACCAAAATGTAAATTTCTTAACAGGAACTGATATCCAAGACAAGTTTACCAAGATTTCTGTAGCCGTCAGGTTTATTCCTGGGAGTAGTGCTCAGGGATATATCGTGTTGACAATGGGCTTAAAGGAAAAAGGAGTAGTATATTCAGAAGCACAATTATTCATTCATTTGTGATGATCTCAAATTATGATATTCTCAAAAGCACTTACAGTCACACCTTGGATTGCAAGTAACTTGATCCTCAAGCGTTCTGCAAGCCACGCAAACATTTCTAAGACATTTTAATTTGATAAATGAGCGATGTCTTGCAAGAAGAGTACTGCAGCACGCTGAACATCACGTGATCGCAGCTGGTTCTTCTCGCTCTCGTTGCTGTGATATACACGTGCTTTGGATTACATGTGAAATGAATTATTCTCACAATCCAAGGTTTTACTGTACTACACATTTCAGAAGATGTACAGTATCAAGGGAGGAAAGGGAGGATGTTCAATAGAACCACCAGAGGGCGCCACCATACCATTTTTAGTAAGTAAATGACTACCGTGTGCTATTTACACTGATTTTGAAAACATGGTTAGTTTATTAGTGACGCTGACATGTCATATTGATAAACCTTGCTTTCCAAATTGCCTCCGTCTTATTAGAATGCTTTAGAAAACTAGGCTTTGAGCGCCGGGAATGTCGCTCAGCAGCGTAGTGCCTGCCTGGCAAGTGCAAGGTCCTGAGTTCAATTCCTGGTACCATTAAAAAAAAAGAAAAGAAAACTAGGCTCTTAGCTCTGTACCCTTATGCAAGAGATTACCGTTCAGGCCCCTCATTTTCAGATTATCTAACTGACATATTGTTAACGTTTTAAATTTAATTTTCTACTAATAGATGATTTGTTGGTAACTTGTGCGTTCTGTCCACCTGAAGAGTTCAGAAGCTGCTGATTCATGCTGCTATCTCTCTTACTGTTCAGAACAAATCAAGGACACTAAACACTAGACCGATAGAAAAGGAAAAGATACTGGACTTGAATTTAAACTGGGTAAGGCTAGCCTTTTGGCGGGGGTTAAGAAACAGTTCAGTTGGGGCTGGGGATTTAGCTCAGCGGCAAAAGCGGCTGCCTGGCAAGCGCAAGGTCGTGAGTTCGGTTCCTGGTACCAGAGAAAAACAAAAAACAGCAAAAAAAAAGAAACAGTTCAGTTAACTTTACAGGTCTCTCGTTAAACTGAGAAATTGCTAGAAATTCTTCAGACACTACTGTTTGTTGTATTTGTCACAGTATGTTGCAGTTTGTCTCAGTAGTTTTAGATTTTAGATTTTCTGAGTCATGGTTTCATTTACATTGTACAGTAAGCATAAATAGTGACATTGAAACTGAGTTGTTATATTAGTCTGGCTGGCACACACAGTACACTTACATGTGATGCGTGCCGATGTAATGTGTGGAATTGCCAGCATCTCCCTAAAACATTTCTGACTTTCTAACTTAGGTATGTAATTTTATGTACTTTATGCTGCTTATATTTCGGTCACACCATGACAGTCCATTTAGAGACATCATGGACTTTGTTGGCACTTTTTAAGAAATGAAACAAGTAAACTGTGTTTGCCCACTCTTCTGTCCTATTTCTGACAAGAGCAGTTTTATAGTTGAATTGGGAAAGGGGGTAGAAATCATCCATTGGAATTTCTTTGTTCACAGAAGACTTTGGCTTTAAGTCCTTTGACTTTTCCAGATGTGCAACAATAAAAGGGCAGACCTCCTTCTGAGGGACCCCAGAAGTCGTCTTCTCTGAGCAGGAGTTGGTACAGTGAGCCTTAGGCAAGAAGCTTCCGTGAGCAAAGCCTAACACAGAGATGCTTGTCATCGCACAATATGTTACTTTCAGAGAAGTTAAAGAATTTTCAGATTAAGCCTTTGAAAATTGATGAATTGGGTTTGGTGAAACCCTATACTAGTAGTGTCTTCAAGATAATTTGATCACTTTGTCCTTTCAAGGACATTATCACTTGAAGAGATAGTTGGTAAGTATCCATACCCTTAGTTGGAAATGATTTGTTGAAGTACATCCAGATTTTAGAGGCTTCATTAATAGTTTGTATTAAAACTGTCACACATTTGCTATTAGCAATGATTGTTAAATAATGCTACAATAGTTCTAGAAAGACATAAAGTCAGTGCAAATACACAAAGATATTATTGTACATACTTTGTTGAATATTTTGTCAGATGAATTTACAAAGAGTACTTTTTAAGAGCATATGTTATTAATATTTGACATTATTTTAGAGTCAAAGTGATGAGGATTACTGAGTATTTATTTTAACCTAGATTAATTAAAATTGAATACTTAAAAAGATTTTTGAGCTGCAAATAAATTATAAAGGCAAGTTAAAAAGAAAAATTTGCCGAGCGTGGTGGTACACATCTGTCATCCCAGCACTCGGGAGGCTGAGGCAGGAGGATCATGGTGAGTTCGAGACCAGCCTGGTCTACAAAGTGAGCTCAAGGTCAGCCTGAACTGCAGAGGGAGAGCCTGTCTCAAAAAGACAAAAAAAAAAATTTAAGAAAATAAATAAATAAAAAGAAAAATTTATTTTCTGAGTCTTCAGGAGAAGCAAGCTGAATATATAGTTTTATAGCTGTTACCTTGTTAAGCAAATGAATTGTTCTAAATATTAAAAATCTTATGTAGTTGTGTCATACTGAACCAGTGCATTATACCTTATATGTTAAATGTAATACAGTGGTTTTACTTCTCTTTATAAGAATAAATATCACAAATCTCTGATATTAAACATGAAAATGGTTTGCTTAAAGTGATTCATATTACTTACTATGATGTGTTTTTATTTATACTTCACTGAGATCCCACTTCAGGATTTTCCTTCTGTTTCAGCTAGCGTTCAGTTGCAGAGAACAGAATTTACACTTAAGTATATTAGGTAGGAAAAGGTTTATACAGGGTACTGAATGCATAATTATCAGGACTATCTGAATTGAGTTTTCAAGAACACATCCCAGCCAGGCAGGGTGGCACATGCCTATAATTCCAGCACTCGGGAGGCTGAGGCAGGGGGATCATTGAGAGTTCAAGGCCAGCCTAGGCTACAAAGTGAGCTCAAAGCCAGCCTGAACTACATAGTGAGACCCTGTCTCAAAAAAAAAAAAAAAAAAAAAAAACCCCAAAGGCACACCACTACCAGGTCACCAGGGGAGTTGCTAACTCTTCTAAGATTAAGAAACTGCTACTTCCTTCAGTGAGAAGGAAAAGCCATCACTACCGCTGCTACCTCTGAAACCGTGCTTACCTCCTGTGGTTTACACCAGCAAAATCGAATCCATATTCCCTGCCTCTCAGTACTCACAAGCTTGTGATTGCATAACGACAGGGCAACCAGACATCGTCCCAGCCATGTTTACCAGCAGAAGTGACAGAAGCATAGGCTCCACCTCTTTCCTGCCTCTCAGGTCTCACGTGTATGCAGCTCATTGGCCTAGAGCGGTGGTGGAAACCTGTGACACACTGGCCACCGTGACCGCAGCACCCGCTCCGTCGGCACAGAGGCCAGTCACCCCAGCCAAGGTTTCACAAGTTATCAGCAAAGATCGTATTAAAGCACAGCAAACATAAACTTTTACCTTTGAATAAAAAGTTGTATCACTGAAAGCTCCGTTAGTGTGTGTTTCTTTTAAGACAAAAGATAATAACGTCTGAGTTGTTTCTATACTGAAACTTCAGTATTCGGGTTAAGTTGCGGTATTGGCACTTTGCAATAAATTAAAGTCTTTTTGCTTTTATCAGCTAGAATCTGTTTCTTTGGCTTAAAATAGACTGATGCATGTGATACCGGAGGCCCCATAGCGCTGGTTTCCTCAGGGCAAGACGCGGAGTTGCAGTACCTACAGTCCTAGGCGTGCAGGCACCAAAAGAAGCCTCTGACTCATATTATGCTCTAGTTTTCATTTCTGTCACCAGAACTGCATCTTTCCCCATCCCATTAAGAAATAAGATTTTCTCGTTCCTAATTCTTGTCTTCCTTTGCAGGCAGTGTTATGGCTCTCTTTAAGATCTTGATCTTTCCATTTTTCTGCAGTTTCTTATGATCTAACTAGCTTTTTAAAAATCCTCTTTGGGATTAATGATTAAATTTTTCTAATTGACTGTCGTTCTCCAAGGCCTACCTACCTTTTGCACAAGCTATAGGCAAGTTAAATGAGGACATGATAGAAATCTCCCCTAGCTTCCGCATACACACGTATTCTTTAGATCTTTGGTGTACATTCATTTCTGCGATTTTTTTTTCAGGGGTACTGATGCAGTGAATTCTACTTAACCTTTTGTACCATAAATAACCCTTACTACACTAGTCGGGGGCAAATGTGGTGTATCTGTAAGTTGCTGATTGTAGCTATTTCAATTGCACATTCATAAACTAAGAAATGACCAAGATAATGTATTTGCAGATTCATGGACCCACTGAGATGGAGTCAATATGAAACTCAGTGGCCATAAATCTACATTATGGTTATGCAAAGTAGATCCCAGCTCATCACACATAAAAATATTTCGGCTATACAAATCAAATAAGAATTAGTATGCTGCTCAGGTATTTTGATCTAAGGGACCTAAAGAACAATTAACCACTACTAAAGTTCTTTGTAGGACAAAGCACAGATTACTTCTCTGGCCACACCCCTATCCTGTTAACCACACTCACTCCATCTCTGGTCATTGTGTGTTTCCGCTTAGTCTTTGCTATTCTGGGTTCCCATTCTCATTAAAAATAGCAAATTCCTGTAACGGCAGCATATGATCTGTAGAAGGCAGACACTGTAGCATGTTTCAAGAATACTAATGCTCCTGTCATTAACGTCATTTTCAGTGCCTTGCGGAAAAGAGCGTCCTCTTGGCTGGACTGGGGGCATGGTTAGGACTCAGATAAGCAGGCTGTGTGTCCTAAGTATACCCCGGTGTTCCTGTCTCCTTAAGTCTTTGGAGTACTTCCTCTGATCATGCCAAGGAATAGCTGCCACCCCAACTGCATTTAGGAGGGCTAATTTTGAGCCTTAGCTTCAGTCAACTAACTGAGCAAACACAACCACTTCCAATCAGGCAGTTCCGTAATTGGATCCAGAATCTCTGGTAAGTGTGCAGATTTTGATATATTTGGCCTAATCTAAAATTGTCTTCCTCATGGTATAGCATCCTCAGTACATTCCCACACATCCGCTCGAGATTTCTGACATAAATTCTCAAAATCTTGCAATTCTTATCGCCTCCCAATGTAGACTTTATATTTGTATCCTTGGAGGGTACTCTCACTTCTCTCCTCTGACTCTATAGATATTCTGTCTCGAAACAGTGGGAGGAATGGTAATAAGAAGAGTTAACATTCCCCTGAAAATAACTTCAGTGAATTCAAGCAAGGCATGAGCAGCCTCAGCAAGGGGGCCGCTTCTGCTGGCTAGGAAGGCCATTGGCGAAGTATTCACTATCACTTGAGTCTACCCAGAGCACCCCCCATTCGTTCATTCACTTATGTATTTATGTGATACTGGGAATTGAACCTGGTGAACGCAGAGCTACATCACCAGCCCGTTTATATTCTGAGACAAGGTCTGACCAAGTTGCCCGGGCTGATCTCAAGTTTGGAATCCTCCTGCCTTCGCCTCCCAAGTAGCTGGGATTGCAGGTGTGCAGCACCACACCTGGCCTTCTACTCTTGGTGTCTACTCATAACTATCCTTACTTTCACCAAAGTGACCCAGTAAGGCTGCAAATTCAAGGTATATTATAATTTAAATCTATAGGATCAGACTGACTAATTTTCAGCAATATCAGTAAGAAAATCTGGGCACGGTGGTGCATGTCCCAAGTCTCAAATACTTGGAAGGCTGAGGCAAGAGGATCACTAGAGCCCAGGAGCTCAGGGCCAACCTGGGTAACAGAGACCTCATCTCTTGGAGAAAAAAGAAAAATAGAAACTCATAATCTCCTATTTCTTTGGCTGATAATTTAAATCCTGTGACTGTCATTTTCTTTCTTTAAACTGCATAGTTAGAAGAAGTTAGTCCTCTTCACAGTTCCTGGATTCATTACTACTGTCCAAATAGTCTGTGGTTGCACCTACCTGGTCCACGGAGCCTTGCCTTTGGTAGTCACCTCATGACAAGCACCCACTGGTGATGATTTGGCTGCTTTGCCGGTGTGCACTATGGTTACCGGCATCCCATCGTCCAATATGAACAGAACTATCACTGCTTTCGGACTAAACCAGGTTATCAAGTCGGTCTACTTTCTCGGAGTGCTGTTGCCTACAGTCACATCCTTTGTTGGTCAGGCTTCAGTTTGAGAGACTAAAAGCCACTCTAGTTTAGGGAGGAAGCAATTTGCTGCCGAACAGGAGTGATTCTGTCCCTGTGTTTTGTTTCTCTGAATCCTTGCTGTTTCTCACTGCATACAGGCCTCTTATATTATTATGAGGCCTCTAATAAAAACCTGGCCGAACGCTTACCACTTCACCATCTTCTAAAAGAAATAAAACAACACTGAGCATATGGCTTTTTTAAAATAGTTTTCCTCGAGGTTTGTCAGGCTATAGAAGAGGAAGTTCACATCGAGAAGTACATGGCTACCTGCCGTCTCGCTGTTCCCCGACCTGATTCCTTCTGTCATCTGAAGCTGATCCCCCAAGGGCATGTCCTTCCCAATGTGCTCACTCTCCCCGTACAGGGCCTGCTACACGAAGCCCTCGGAGAAACCAGGGTACTTCTCCGCACTCTGGGTTACTCCTCTTGAGAAGCCCACTGGCCCGATGCATGTTTTCTCCAGGCTACCTTGAAATTCCCATGAACAAACTTTGTATTTCTAATTTTATTCCTCCTTCACCTAATTTTCTAATGTTGCATTTTGTGAAAGGTAACTTATTTTGTCAGGTTTTCAAAAGGAGAAAGTAAAGGAAAAGGAAGAAAGGACCAATCTGTATAAGAAATACCTTGTTCCCCACCTCAAGGCATTGCCTTTTTTCATGCCCTGATAGTTCTGGGAACTACAGAGTTAATGCTTATTTCCCTAGTTACTGATTAATGGTACCCTAAGCATCTCAGTTTAACTTAGTGAGCAGTTTAACTTGCTCATTTCCTTGCTTACCAATCCTGGAGGAATTTCTTCACATGATTGCATTTAAAAACTGAAGTTAGCTATTGCTCTCTTTTTCTGTTTAGACTAGTAATTCTCAGAGGCCCAGGGTAATTGTTCCTCTTCTAACCGAAGACCTGAATGAACACCGTGGTTCATTTAGAATACAGTGATTCAACTCTCACTACCATTTTTTGTCTGATCACTAATTTGTAAGGTAACAACAACAACAAAAACTTTGAAAACTATCACAGGGCTGAAATTGGCAT